GCTCTCACCCGCCAAACCCGCCGCTGCGCGCAGCCAGAGCCTCAGCCGCTTTCGCAGCACTGGTAGCCTTCCAATCCTTGCCATCGGACTTCTTTCCCATCCTTTCAGCTCAGCGATCTGTGGCTTTCACGAGCTTGTGTCTACAAGAGTCGGCATCACTTGCATCAACCAATTGAATGCAGTAATTCATTATCTCGTGTGTGCAATTGGATCACGGGTTCAAGGTGACGCTGCTGGCGGTAAAGGAGGTTGCCTTTCCTGCCCATGCACCGGCCGACCGCGCACGCCCGTGCCTCATGCGACGCGTGGCGCCCGCGACGCCACCCACGCCACAGGGCCGCGTAGAGCACCCGAATACACCGTCATCTCCCGTGCGGCCAGCCTGGCCCCAGCTCCCAGGCCATGGGGCCGCTCGCCGTCGTGACCGGCGCAAACGGTTCGTCGGCAGGATACTGGGGCGGCGCTATCAGCTGCACCCCTCCGCACCCGGCCCATCCTCGCTGCCCGCCCCCGCCGCCCGGCCTCCAGCCACGCTTGCTACCTGCCCTATCACTTGTCCTCGCGCACCGCTGCAAAGGCCGAAGCCCGCAAGCAGACGCATTCGCAGCAGCGGCGCCAAACGCCCACGCATGACCCGATCACCTGCCACCCCACACAACTCGCAGGCGGCCTCGGCATCGAGCTCTGCAGGCAGCTGCTCTCAAAGGGATACGACCTCGTCCTCGCATGCCGCCCCGCCCGCACCTGCGACGCCGCCGCGGCCCGCCTCCGGCGCGCCCTGCCCGCCGTCCCCGGCGCGGGGAAGGATGCTGACGTGGACACGCGGCTGGTGCAGCTGCCTGTGGACCTCTCCAGCTTCGCGAGCGTCCGCGCGGCCGCGGCGGCGCTCGAGCAGCGGCTCGCGGGGCGCCCGCTCGACGTGCTGTGCTGCAACGGTGGGAATGGGGCCGCGCCCCGCCCTCGGCCCGCGCTGCGCGGTCCCAGGAACACCCGGGCGGTTCGAGGAGCGGCTTGGGGCGCGCGCTCAGCCCAGGCAGCCGCGCAGCTTCACTGGCTGACGTGGCATTCATGGGTGCATGCGTTCCTGTGGGCAGCCGGGTGACCGGCCACGCCCCACACTCGTTCGGGGCGTCACCATCTTGCACAAGGTGGTGCCCGGCCACCCCTGCTGCGACCGCCACCCACGCTCCCGTGACGCAAACCGCTTATACCTGATAGAACAATTCAGATTGCCTCACAAGCCCCCCTCAAAAGCACATGTTCACCTTCCCCCCTCAATACCGGCAATCAACAGCCGCCGCAATCCCCACAAGGCTGCAGCTGACGGGTGACGGCTTCGAGCTGCAGGCTCAGTCAAACCATCTGGTGGGCCTGCCTGCCTGTCACGTTGTGGCTTGTAGCCGCGGAGGCTTTGTAAACGCGGGTTGCAGCGTTTGCAGCCTTGTGTGGCGCGCCTCATGGGCGCAGCGGCCCCTGACAGAGGCCAGCTTTGGAGGGTGGTGTGCGCCCCTCCAGCGACCCAGCACTCACTCTGTCTCAAAAACTCTCCGTCAGCGCACTCGCAACATCCCCCTTCCCCCCTCTCCCCTGATTCTGATGCGCCCCGCTGCCCTTGCTGCCTTATTTGGACTCCCACTCGCACGCTCGCACGCACTCCGTCACTTGCATACTCCAGCAGCAGGCTCACCCGCCACCAACACACACTCACACTCACACACACACACACTCACCCCCCCCAAAAAAAACAAAAAATCTCACCACACCAGGGCCACTTCCTTTTGGTCCACCTGCTGCTGCCCTCCCTCCGCCGCGCCCCCGCCGGCCGCGTCGTCCTGGTCGGGTCTGAGCTGCACCGGAAGCTGCCGCCGCAGGACGCGACACCCGACGCAGCCGCGGCGCTGTGGCGGGCCGGCGGTTGGGAGGGGCGGCCGTACGACTGGAGGAAAGCGTACTCGAGTGAGCGGGCGAACTCGCAGCTGTGGACAGGCGCGGCTCCAAGACTTTCTTTGCTCGTGTGACCGCAGCAGCGCGGCGAGCTGTGACCGCCGCTTCCCTTACCTGTCATGTACGACTGCAACCCGCCCCGGTCGGCGTCTCACGAAGCACCCTGAGTCCTTCCCGTACAGTGACACCCACATGCGCGCGTACACACACACACACACACACACACACACGACCCCTTTCCATGCACCCTCCACCACCCCTCCTGAATGCCCCGCCAGCCACCAAGCTGCTGAACGTGTGGCACGCCTCCCACCTGGCCACGCTGCTGCCGCCCAACGTGACCGCCAACGTCGTATCTCCCGGTTGGGTGCCCGGCACGCAGCTCAGCCGCCATGTCGCGGGGGCCCTGCTGACGGCCATCGTCGGCACCCTGGTGAGCGCCTTGGGTCAGGGTCTAAAATTTATGTGCTTGTTTTGGGGTCAGGCATTCCATACGCTCTAGTCATGCTTGGGCAGTGCCCTGAAAGCGTTTGGAGCGGTTTTGCTGGGTGTCTTCGGAAACCTCTTCTCTTTGTAGGCGGGGACTGGGTAGTCTGAGAGGCATGCAGGCACTGCCCGTGGCCGTGCGCGACGACCTGCCACACCCCTCTTTTGACCATCGACCGGCTGGTGTCGATGCTTCAACGGCAGCAGCCGTGCCCCTGCCGCCCGGCAACGAAGGCGTGCACGTCTGTAGGCATGTGGATCAACCTATCGCATGTCGTGATGCATGCGTTTTCCGCAGGGTCCCTGCCTGTTTCCTAGTGTGGTGATCACCCCACAGGAGGGCGCGCGGCGGATGGCCGCCGTCTGCATGGGGACCAACGAGGCTGAGGGGGGACCAAACGGGCTGTACTTTAGGTGAGGATGTGTGCGCGTGTGCTTGTGCATATGTGAGTGAGAATGTGTTTGTGCATGCGGGTGTGTGCGTGCGTGCATGCCTGCGCGAGTGTGTGTGCCGGTGTGTGTGTGTGTGTATGTGTGTGTGTGTGTACGCGTGCGCGTGCGTGTGCGTGTGTGTGTGTGTGATCCGCTCACACACGGGGAATCAGCAGTTGGGCGGTCACATGATTTGCGCCTTGGCACAAGCTACGCAGCGCAGCCACCCAAAGCCGCACACGCGCGCATGCCCCCTGCACCCGCCCCGCCGTTGCAGCAAGCGCCGGCCGACGCAGCCGAGCGAGGAGGCGTCTGACGCGGCGTTCGCGGCGCGGGCGTTCCGGCTCAGCATGGAGGCGGTTGGCCTCAGTCCAGGGGAGCCGTATGGAGGGATCGCCGCCTAGGCGCGACTAAGCGTGGCGGAAAAAGTCCCCAGCGTATCTTTGTAAAGCGCTGCCGCGGCCGCGGCAAACGGCGCCGTATGCTTGCAGGGCTGGGCGAATGAGCTGTGATGTTTGAGCGCGTGTCATGCGTGTGACATCACTTTGGCCTGCATCCACCCCTGTTGTTACTCGTCGGTTCCTGTCGTGATTTATCGATCCTCTCACATTTACCTGTCGTAGTAGGAGGCACCTCGCCTGCAGGTGCTACTGATTACACAGGACTTGCAAAACAAAAGAGAGAGTGTGTGTGTGCGCATGCATGCATGTGTGCGTGTGCGTGTGTGTGTCTTGATGGGGCAATTGGGGCAGTAAAAGCGAGCCACAGGAGGTGCAGGCCCATGAGGCCAGCACACATGTGTGCGGGAAGGTGTAAGGCTGTCAGGCGGTCACCAGGGCGTGCCAGTCAATCCTGCTGCCGGGCTAAGGAGGGACAGCAAAAACCAATGCCTGAGATAGCTTCTTGGCGGGCAGCACCAACACAAAGCTTGGCCGAAAAACAAGCAGTGAACAAGCTGTGCGCCGGCGGGCAGATGCATATACACTTCTCTCAAAACCAAAGCAGCCCGCCTTGGCACGCCGGCACGCAGCAGCGCATCGCCGGGTCGCGCCGCGCCGCGGTGAGCGGCCCCCTAGCTCCTCGCCACCACAGTCAGCGGCAGGCCGCACTTGGGCACGGCCATCGGCGGGGTTGTCGTCCAAGCCACATTAGCCGCGTTTGCGACCCGGAAGTCGTACCCGCGGGCCAGCAGGGCCAAAAACACCTTTGCCTCCGCCATCGCCAGGGGGGCGCCGATGCAGTACCTGGTGACAGGGCATCGCGGGCAATGTGTGCGGCGTCGGCGCGCGTGTGGACGGCGCGAGGCGCGGGCGGCTGGGCCCATGATCGATTGCAGGGCTTACGTAGGGCTCGCTGGCCGGCGCGCATGCGTTCGCCGCTCGCCTGACACCTATTTTGCATGTGCCTCGCGGGCGTGCACGACCGCACCCAGCCTGACCCTGGCCTTCTCCTGCTGTATGAAGGATTTTGAGAACGAGGATACACATGGTCGCTGTCAAAGCGCAGGCAGTCTCACTGCGCGAGGCGCGAGACGCGCCGCCGTCCCGCGCACCCCCACCTGTTTCCCGCCCCGAACGGCATGATCCACGACTGCGCCGCGTCCTTCCCGCCCTCCAGCCACCGCTCGGGCCTGAACTCATCATCGCCCCCCCAGCGGGGGTCGTGTTTTGTCAGATAAGTCAGGGGCACCAGCAGCGTCTGCCCCTCCTCCACCCGGTGTCCCCCTAGCTCGAAGTCGCGCGCCGCCAGGCGGGGCATGCCGCCGACGACGTTGTTGCAGCGCATTGCCTCCCTGGGAAGAGTGTGAGGGGGCGGGGGTTAGGCAGCAGGGGAGGGGGCGTGCCGGGCATGCAGGTCAGGTGGGAGCGAATGCAGGGTTGCGAATGCAGGAGGCCGCGGGTGGGCGGGTCGAGAGAGTTGCTGCTGCCTTTGGCTCGGACGCAATCGGATGGGTCGAGACGCTCTCTGCAGCGGCCACGACACGGGCGCAAACTTGAAACACAATCCCAGCCAGTGACGCACGGCTCAATGCCCGCCGCCCGCGACACATGGAGGTGCGCGGCCGCGCCGACGCTACCGATGATGTCATCATGACATCATCATGACATCACCTGATGACCGCCTCCGTGTACACCATCCCCTTCAGCGACTGCCCGTCCAGCCCGCGGCCGGCCGCCGCCTCGGCCGCGGCGAGCGCCTCCTGCTCCCGCCTCAGCGCTTGCCACGCCCCCGGGTTATTCGCCAGCCGCCACAGGATGAGGGACAGGGTGGTGGTGCTCGTGTCGTGGCCGGCTGCTCGAGGGGTGGGCGGTTGGGGGTAGGACGGTCAGGGCCGAAGGGGGGGGGGCGCGTGCAAGGGGTGCTGCTCAGGGAAGAGGGCGGCGCGAACCATCAAAGCGTAGCGCAGCGCCGCGATGCCGATCCGTCGAGCAGAAGACAGGGGGGGCGTGGAACGCGCCGTCGGCGAGCGCCGGCACTTCGAGGGGCGTTCAGGAAATGCGGGGTTTGGTTGGTTCCCGCCGGGCCGTTGGCCGAGGATCCTTGAGACAGGGCATTGATCGGAGGTGTTTCCATGAAACGGCCCAACGACGCCGTGATCCCTCACCAAACAGGAGCCCGATGATGTTGTCTTCACACTGCTGGTCAGACAGCCTGCGCGCGCGCACACGCCAGGGGTCAAGGAGCGTGCAGCGCAAGACGGCGGATCCAACCGTGAGATCGCGGGCCGGGAACGGGGCGAGGCGTGCGCTCCACAGCTCCCTGCGCTTGACAAACGGGCAGCCTTCCAGATGGGGCTTATTTTTGTTTGTGATGCTAGCATAGCAATGCTGTGAAAAAAGGCAACTCATGAGCTCTATATTGTGGGCAACCCACGGCATGTGCGCGCACCCGTTTCCGTCGGCGTCTTTCGCAAGCATGGTGGCCAGCATGCCGCCCGGCGGCTCCCCAGCTTCCGCCGCCTCGCGCGCGGCCTTGATGGCCGCCCTCGTATAGACTCCCAAAGCCTTCAGTATTCAAAATCCGATAATTGCAGATGGGGGGAATGGGGTCAAACGCAAATGAAGGCGTTGATGCAGAGGCAAGCAGGTCGGCTGGGGCCATGACGGCGGCGGAAGGCGGAGGGACGCGACGCGCCGGCGGCACTGCTGGGGGGCAAACAGGCCAGGCCGCCGTCGGCGTCGCTCTTGACAAACGCCGGGCCACCGCTCCCGATCACAAGCCGCACGCGCGCCGTAGGCGAAGCCGCCCCTTTGCCCTGGGTGCACGCACGAGCGTGCGACGCACGCGCACCTGTCTTGCGCGTGTGGCCTTGCCGTAAGCCAGGAATGGCAGGTCGTAGGGCAGCACTGTGAAGAGGCCCTGGGTCCAAATGGTGAACAGGCGCAACATCTCCCGCGCCTCGTCTGGGGCGCACCGCTTGCCGAGCACGACCTGCGTTTGACGGCCGTGGTGGGAAGGTAAAGTGGAGGGCGGATGTACGGGAGTGCGACGCGCTGAGTCATGCGGGGGCACGACTGCGGCTGGGGAGGCGTGCTTGTGGGCTTTGCCGGCTTCGCCCCGGCAGGTTCGGGGTGGTGCTTGGTGGCAGCTGCAGCGGTGGCGGTGGCGGCTGGAAGGGACGGCCTGCTTGCTGCCAGCCAACGCAGCACCCCGCACCTGCTGGCATCTTTTCATTTGAATTCGCCTCAAACTCAGCTTGGCCCCGTCAGGTTCGATCCCCCCCTGCTGCATTGCTCGGTCTCTGTTTCGTGGCCCGGCCCCGTAATCGCTACGCGATCATGACGCACTGTGGCTCATGCACCTGCAGGATTACGTCGAACGCCATCTGCTTCAGGCTGTCGTAGCCTTTGACGGGCCCGCCCTGCCCCGCCCACGACGAAAGGTAACTGCCTGCAATCTCGGATATGCGCGGGCTGCGGGGGAGGGGGGTGCAGAGGGGGGAATGAGTTGAGCGGCAGAGGGTTGTTTCGCCAGAGGCAGGCGAGGCGGGGAGAAGCGGGCTGGTTGCCCTTTTGGGCCCCACAGCTGCCCAACGCAAATGGACAGGGTCAGCCTGTATTTGCTTGCCGTGTGGGCAGCGCAGCTGGGTGGAAGCGGCTGACATAACGCCTTTGGGGACAACCGGCTGCCTGCATCATAAGCAAGTAACTTTGCCTTGAATGCCGCCACCGCTGCGGCTGCTGCAGCTGGCTGGTTGGGTAGCCAGCTGGCCGGGTGCCGGATGGCCGGTCAGGCAGTAGCTCCAGCTAATCGTTCTTTCGCCACAACCCCCGTGGTTTTGCGCTCACACACCACCTCACACGACACAGACGCAAGGGAAAACATGCTTGCACTGACATACACGCAGTCACACAAGCATGCACACGTTCAACTTGGATCACCACCGTCATCACACAAACACATGCACGCACACGCACGCATGCCGACACAGCACGCGCCACGTGCATCCCCCCACCCCGACTCACACGAAGCCGCCGACGGCCTCCGCTGTGAACGCCGGCTGCATCAGCGCGCGAAGCGCCCTGTGCCCCTCGCCCTTCTGCAGGATCATCGCTTCCTTGCCGAACAGCTCGTCAAAGTGGGCTGGCCAGCCGACCGTGGTCTTGTCGCCCTCTGACGTCAGCACCTCGCGCGCCAGGTCACCCGTGCAGGTCGTCACCGCCGGCTGCAGAAGGAACTCGCCCATGATCAGCGGGCGGCCGGCCACGGCGGCCTCCTGCCACGTGGGCGTGTCGATGACCGAGAGGGGGCGCAGGTACCACGGTGCCGCAGACGGCGGCGGGGGAGGGAGCGACGCGAGGAAGGGGCACCTGCCGGGGCTCGCGGCATCGGGTGCTGCGGAGGGGGCGGCGCCGCCGCTGCTGCTGCTGCCATCATTGGCATCGGGCGCCTGGAGCGGCGCGGCCTCCGCAACACCTGCACGGCCGAGTGCAAGGTGATGGCAATGGTGTGGAGCAACAACGTGGGAGGTGACTGCTTGAACGGGCTGCGGCGGGGCGATGCGGCGCATGTGGCCGGCAGCGAGTGCCTGGCCATTGAAGGTGCAAACGGACAGACCGCACCCTGTCGCGAGCCACCACGCCCACCTGCAGCGTGTTCGCTGGTATGCGCTTTAGACACGATTACACTACGAGCCCTATGTCCACCTCGGGAGGCCGGATTGCCCCGCGTGATGGATGTGCAGGCCGAGGGCCTCGCATGCGAGTGCCGAGAAGCATGCATGGTGGTTGATGTGCAACGCAATTGCTTTGTGATTGTTTTTACATTAAAAATCAATTGACCACGGCAGATGTACACGTAGATCGCTTCCCAGCAAGTCTGATGGACCGTGCATTCGAGCGGGCCTTCACAAAGGTGCATGCCGGCGTAGCAGCTGCCATACCAGATCCGGAGGCAAAGCAGGCCGCGAAGGTGCAGTCTGAGGAGGACCGACTGCGGCAGGAGACAGCGCCGATCACCGCAGCTGACGCGGTGCAGCGCATAGCACTAGCCTTCCGTGATGGCGATTACTTCAGGTGTGCAAGGGAGGATCCCATCAATCCCAGCATCCGCATGCAGGTCCGCGCCGTGCTTTGCAGCCGCGTCTGCTAGCTGGCGCACGGTGGCTTCGCAACTTGTCACCCTGCGCCCATGCTCATGTGTCGCGAGCGGCTTGCATGTGGGCACGTTTGTCGCGCTGACCCCGACCCATCCGCTCCATTATAGGCTGCTGCAGCTGCCCAAGCCAGACGTGGACGAGCTGGGGCGACCAGTCTGGGGCTGCACAGACTCGGATGTTTCGAAGGCGTACCGGCGGCTGTCCGTTTATGTGCACCCCGACAAGGTGCGGGGTTGGATTGAGGCCCCTGGCTCTCCCAGTTTGCCGCAGCGCGCCATACCGGCCTTGCCGCGGCGGCGTCGGGCGCGGATGCATGCGCACGCATGCAGCGGGCAGGCCTGCAGTCGCGACAATGGCAAGGGCGAATTGCGTCACGGTGGTGCGCTGTCGACCCTGCGCTCCTGCAAATTGTATTGTCAACGTGCATCCACCTTTACACAGGTTGCGGGCGACGCGGCGCGGAAGGCTTTTGAGCAGCTGAACCAGGCATACCGGGAGCTGCGAGACCCCGGGAAGCTGGTGGGCAGCAGCTGGGGGAAGTTGGCGGGAAGCTGAGCCGTCTGGCAGGGGACAGCACATCACGCTGTTCAAGATGGTGGCGGCGACGGCGACAGCAGCGGTTGCACCAGAGCGAATAGGAGGTGGCAAGGTGCAGGCGTTCAGCGACAAATGCATGCTGCAAGCAACCGACAAGGGCCGTGTGTGCCGCTCGCAGCGCGAGCGGCACTGCAGCTGCCCCTGCTGCCGCTTGCGCGCAGCGCATGCACTTGGGCCCACATGCACGCGCGTAAACTCGCATCACTCCGTTTTAGGAGGAGCTGTTGAAACGTGCGGCGGTGGCGGCCAAGGGGGAGAAAGAGAAGCGCGAGGCGGCGGCCACAGTAGCAGAGCGTGTGGAGATCAACGCACGCGCCACCGAAAAGAAGAAGGAGCTACGGAAACAGGAGGTGGGTGGCGGCGTAGGTGGTCCCTGGGATGTCTAGGCTGTCGCAGCCGTGCCTATCAGGCGCGCAGGGTTGTCAGCAAAGGGTGGTGACGGGCCGGCGCTGCGGGGGGCGAGGGGCGACCTGGGGGGTTGCAGCAGCGCACAGCTGCAGCTTTTCGCTGCTTCCAGCCAGGCGTGTATTGCACTAAGCTTGCCCTGAATTTCGTCCTGCCCTCGGTGTCACGATGCCGGCCCGCAGCTGAGCAGCTTCCAATCGGAGATCATGGCTCAGATGCAGAAGCGGAAGGAAGAGGCGACGCGCAAGCGGCAGGCGGTCAGCAGCTACAGGCGGCGGGGAGACGGGGAAGAGGAGGAGGGGGCCTTGAAATCAAAGCCGCCGGGCGGCGGCAGCAGCAGAGACGGCGGCAGCTTGAAAGCTGACGGCGGCGGCAGAGAGGGCGGCGGCAGCGGCAGCGAGGGTGAGGACGAGTGGCAGCGGCGCAAGAGCAGCAGCAAGCGGAAAAAGGTGTTCATATGATGCTTGCCTGTAAGTGTTGTTTCTCCCCTGGCCTTGTGGGCTTCTGAGATGGCATGGAGCTGTTCATGAGTTCAGGTGAACAGCAGACAGATCCTGTGAAGGGCAGTGATTTGGAATTCGTGCACCTCCAGCTTTGTCAGCACACACAAGGTCTGCTGGTGCTGGCCAATCGCAATGTATCGCAGGGCAGGTTAACCTGGGGCAGGGCAGCCAGGATTGGCAGCCTTGGCATCAGCACGCAAAGTCTGTTGGCGGTGTTGCAATCAGGCCAGCAGCTGCTGCGTGGTGCAGACGCGGCATACCACTGTCACCAGACACAGGGCTCTGCAACCTGTACGGTATCCTGCGAGTATGCTGCACACATGCTTCTAAGTACGTATTTTTTTATTTGCGTTGACCCTTTTGACTTCGTCGCTTATCTCTTGTACTCGAGCTTTCGACGATGAGCAAGTTGGGAATGTTGCTCGCGTAAGCATTTTATGTCAACTTCTGCAATGCGCACTTCTTCAGATGACAACGAGCAGCAGCCAGGGTTCGTCCCTGCGCACAAGCAGCAGCACCTCGGGCGCGTCAAATTTGTCTGCTGCGCCGGCCGCGGCACCTTTGTCAGCCTGACCTCCTCAGCCCTCAAGACCTGGACGACCATCCAACAAGGCGCCGAGACAGCCGCGCCCATAGAACTCGCGCACCTGCAGCTGCCACGCGACTTTGTCACCGCAGTCGCGCCGTGCGGCAACCTGCTGCTCGGCAGCTGCCTCGACGGCAGCCTGCGGGTGTGGTCGCTCGACCGCCTGGCGCAGCGGTCCATCTGCCCGCTGGAGCTGTGCAAAGGCGTGGCGACACAGCTGCTGTACAACCCAAGGTGCATGGTCACGCGTGGAATGGGTGCACACCTCTATCGGGCATAGGCAAACCTGCGTCCTGCCGCCAGCGGCTCCAAAAATGCGGCCGCATCGCATCTCCTGCGCTGCAGTCCGGAGGTGTGAATGTTTGCAAAGCGACTGCCGATTTCCTTTGCAAGCTCTCAGGTCACTCCTGCTCTGTGCTCCGTGTGGCGCTGCTGCGTGACGCGTGCGCAGGACCGATGACGTCATCATGGCCAGCTCCAGCGGCGTGAGGGCCCTGGCCAGCGACCCCGACACTGACGGCTACGCCAAGGCCTCCGGCGTCGTGCCGGCCGCCGAGCGGCCGCTGCTGACGGCCGCAGGCCAGGCGGTGCCTTGGGGTTACGGGCGGTACGAGCGGGCGCGCCAGAGACTGGAGTTCTGGTGAGCCTGGTCGGCGGAATGACAGAGTGTGTGCCAGGGTGCCGAAATACCCATATGTTGCAATTTTGGGGGTGTCAAAAGGTGTTCAAACCTTGTTCAGCTGGGGCTCTCAGGTATCTCATTGCTCTCGCGCTGCGTGCTCACGCACGCCTGCACGCCGTGCCGCCTGCCGCGCGTGGGCGCGCCAGCCTGCCTCGGCCTGCCGCAGAGCCCGGCGTCGCGGGGCGCGAGCGGGAGCGCGGCCCGCGGCCGGTGGGACGGGGAGGCACGGTCAAGCTGCAGCTCCACACGAAGGAGCAGCTGCTGCTCGTGCTTGACCAGGTGTGCAAGGCGACAAAGCGCTCCATAGTTGCGTGCGCCGCGGCAAGGTGCCTGCCACGCGCCGTGTGTCAACAAGGTGCCCAGTCAAGAGCAACTCGGCCCACACGTATGCCACAGGGACCAGCAAGAGCGCAACCCTTGCGCATCAGCAGGCCAGTGAAGATGCTTAGTGTGGCCAGTACTGCCCTCAAAAGGAAGCAGCGATGGCCAGGCATCCCCGCACGGGCCAAACATGATGATTGTACTTTGCACTGTCGCATCCGATGTCGGTGCGGCCCGCAGGCCGACCTCCACGGTTTCGACGCGTCGAGCGGCGCCCACCGCTTCTCGTGGCGCGGGCTGGCCCCGCAGCCGCTGGTGGACTGCGCGCTGTGCCTGCAGGGCGGGCTGCTGTTCACCGCGACCGCGGCGCCGCATGCCACGGTGAGCAGCGGGCGCCGCACGCCCTAACGCATGTGTGCGGCGCCTTCGCTGCGCCGCGCAAGTGAAGCAGCTCCCTCTGCAGTTACGCTGTCCTCCTCCGGCATTACGTTTGTGGTTCTGAACTGTCACGGCGCACGCAACGCTATTGTTGACTGCCGCACGCTTGTCTTCCTTGCATGATCAAAATCCTGTTTCAGGCGTGGAGGCTTGGCGGGGCAGACGGCACAGCCCTTGTGAAGTGGCGCACCTTTGGCCACTTTCCTGGCGGCATCCATCGTCTCGCGCTCGCCGCACTGGCGCAGGGGACGGCAGCGGCCGCTGCCAAGCGCCCGGGCTCCGCAGCGCAGCATGCTGCCGGTGTGGGGGCCCGCTGCGGCGGGCCGGGCAGCATGGGGTGCGGGCCAGCAGAGCCAGGCCCTTTGCTGCCGCCCGGCGGGGCGGGTGGTGGGGACGGGGACGGCGGCGCGCCGCTGCTGGTGACTGGCAGCCTGGATGGCACTGTGGTGGCTTGGCGGACGGCCGGCCTCGAGCCGCTGTTTCAAATGAAGCTCGCAAATCCTGGCGTGCCCGGGGGCGACGGGGGCCTTAGCTGCCTCGGCTTCTGCGGCGCTGACCGGCTGTTCTGTGCGGCCGGCGACGCGGTCAGGTGCGTGTAGGTGGGGCCGAACATCGCTGGTCTTGCACGGCGCCACGGGCCTGTGGCGCAGGGCTGCCGGCCTGTCCGCTTGTCGAACACGCTGAACTTTGATGGAAGTTGGCCGGCCGCCTGTCTCAAGAACACCACCCTGCCCCGCCGCACCCGCATCTGGACGCCAGCATTCCCAGGGACAGCCGTGCGCACTCACCATGTCCACACTCGTCGTGCGCATCTCCCACCCATCCGCTCACTCCGCAGCCTGTTCGACCTGCGCCAAACCTTTATAACCTGGATGGAGCTGTCAAGCCCTGCTTCGCGGCTGCAGATGCTGGCGCCCGGCCTGCTGCTGGCCGCATTCGACGACGGCAGCGTCCGGTTGGTGGGTTGACAGGGGGTCTGGCTGGCAGCGGCTCCGAGCTGCTAGGGGTGTGGGTGGGCACCTTGCTGGTGTTGCGTGAAGCGCGGGGGGCAAGAAGCCTGCTTGTGCGGGGGAGGCAACTGGCCAGAAATGGGGCAGCGGCATGCTGGTTTTTGAGTGGTGGACGGGCTTTCTTTGGATATTAAGGCGTCCATCTGCTGCTGCTAATCGCCTGCTGCATATGGTTTGACATGCGGAGGCCGACGAAGCATCTGTGCTGCCCGATGCCACCAAAACTACCACCCTGTTGTCGCGCTTGCCCTTGCCCCCAGCTCGACACCAACGGCGGTGGGGCGGTGTTGACCTGCGTGCCGCAGCTGTCGGCGGCTGCGCTGCTTGGGGCGGAGGTGGGGCTTGCGTCGTATCGGCTGTACTGCTTGCTGAGCGACGGCCACGTGCACACATGGCGGCTCCATCCTGACGGCCGCCCACCTAGTTTTGAGGTGAGTTCAATGAGCAGCAACCAAGACCTCTGGATCGCCTGCTTGTGGTGG